TACTTAATTCCACATGGGGTGGCAAGTGAAGTGACAGGTGCTGAGGGTTCACAAGGTGACAGACAAACCAAGTCTCTGTCTTCATGGAAAGATATTTGCTCTTAGAAGGAACAAATCAATTTTTACTTTGGTGTTTGCTTATGAATATATGACAGAGGTCTCTTTCATGTGTGGAGTACCACTTGGGCAAACTACAAGAAAATACTTCATGTCAAATCCTGAGAGGTTTAGAAATGCCTCCATATTTAACATTTCTTTTCAGTTAGTGATTATGTTCAATTTGTAAGGTTAGTTGTATGCCCAGAAATAACACAGGGTATGTCCACCAAAGGGAAAGATTTTTGTTAAAGTTAGGACTTTGGGGTAAATGACTTTTGTAGGTTTATGGGGCATGAGTCAAAGAAGGTTGATTAGGGCCTGGTTTGAAAGCCTTTATGCATCAGACTAATTAAGAGATTTTCATTTCATTTTGTAGCTGTTATATGACAACAATTATCCCTCAATGATTTTAGGGACAAGTGCCAGGGTATTTTTTCATGTCTAAAGAAGATTTCTCTGGAACCACATTTGGGACACAGTAGAATGGGGAGACATGGAAACAAACCATAAAGGAAGTGTTACAATAAAACAGTACCCTTGGGGCTATGGAGATAGCTCAGTCAATAAGACGCTTGCTGGGAGACCATGAAGACCTGAGTTCCATCACTAGCAGCCATGTAAAAGCTGGGCATAGTGGTGTATGCCTGTACTCATAGGGTTGGGAGACAGCGACAGACAGATTCCCCAGACAGGGCTTACTGGTCATCCAATCTGGCCAAATTGATTCAGTAAGAGATCCTGTCTTAAAAGTAAAGCAAAGAACAGTTAAGGAAGACACTTGAGATGACATCTGGCTTCCACATACATGAGCACAAACACATGAAAACACAAAAATTAGACCGGACTTTGGTGGCGCATGCCTTCAATCCCAGCACTCACAAAGGGGTGTCTTTACACAATCAACAAGTAGGATGCAGAAAACCAAAGGTTCTACAAAAAAGTACTGATCATGAACTCTCTCTGTAGACCAGGCTGGCCTTTAACTCAGAGATTCACCTGCCCCTGCCCCTGCCCCTGCCCCTGCCCCTGCCCTGCCCCTGTTCCTGCCCTGCCCCTGCCTCTGCCTCAGAAGGAGTGTGAGATTAAAGGCATGAGCCACCACCGCTCCAGCAACTCATTTGAAGAAAAGAATTTAACTGGAGACTTGCTTAAGTTTCAGAGGTTTAGTGCACTCTTATCTCACTGGGGGGCATGGCAGAATGCAGACAGACATGGTGCTGGACAAGAAGCTGACCCACAGGCAGCAGAGAGAGATGACCTGGTGTGAGCTTTTGAAACCTCAAAGTCCACTTCTTAGTGACACACCTCCACATCAAGGCCACATCTAATCCTTCCCACAAACTGGAAACCAAGCATTCAAATATACCCAACAAAATACCAAGTTTTTTTTCTTTCTTTTACCCCTACCTTTTATTTATTCTCATAATTTTCCCAACTAATCAGGTTAGAGGCAAAACAAAACTTCCATCACTCCACATAAGAAACAGATGCTGGATTTAATCTTTTGCCCCTAGAAAGGACATACTGAATGTATGTATGTATGAGCTCTCTGAGACTTTGGGCAAGATATCTAAACTGGCATCCCTGTATCTGTGGTGTGTCAGCATTCTTTCCTTTACTCAGGTGGTGGCTGGTTCTAGTCTCCTCCAGGAATATGTGATTCTCTCTTACCTTTTCACACTAGACACCAAATGTCTTCTTAATGAAGAAACTGAATCCCTTCTTTCTAGTCCCACCATCATCAGACCTGATGAGCATAGTGATAGAGTGATGGCATTTTGGTTTGGGATTTTTAGTTTGTTTTGTTTTGCTGTTGTTGTTATTTTGTTTTTGTCTTTGTTTTTTTTTTTTGGGGGGGGTTGTTTTGTTTTCATGTTTTTTGAGACAAGGTTTCTTTGTGTAGCCCTGGCTGTTCTGGAACTATCTATGTACACCAGGCTATCCTTGAACTCAAGAGATTCATCTGCCTGTCTTCTAAGTGCTGGGACTAAAAAGCATGTGCCACTACTGCCTGGCTAGTTTTTTTGCGTTTCTTTCTTTCTTTCTTTCTTTCTTTCTTTCTTTCTTTCTTTCTTTCTCTCTCTCTTTTTTTTTTTTTCAAGACAGGGTTTCTCTGTGTAGCTTTGGAGCCTATCCTGGCACTCGCTCTGGAGACCAGGCTGGCCTCAAACTCACAGAGATCCGCCTGCCTCTGCCTCCTGAGTGCTGGGATTAAAGGCGCCACCAATGCCTAGCTTCATCTTAGTTATTTTTTAACTGTTTATTTTTATTTTAGTGCATTGGCGTTTTACCTGCATGTATGTCTGTGTGAGGGTATCAGATACCCTGCAACTGGAGTTACAGACAGGTGCACCACCATGGGGTTGCTGGGAATTCAACCTGCGTCCTCTGGAAGAGCAGTCAGTGTTCTTAACTGCTGAGCCATCTCTTTAGACCCCATTTTAGTTATAGTTAAAAGGCTTGAAAATTCAATAACCTGTAAATAAAACTTAAAACAATGTGCCAAATCAAAGTGAACATCACTGAATTCTGAGAAGTCGAATGGAGACCAAAATAGATCCAAACAAGGAGTGACTATAGTCAGAAATGCTATTTCTCATTTTCATGGACTCTGTTTTAGTGTCCCTGTTGATGTATAGAAAGACACCATATATTTTTGGAAAGATTATTTCTATTTAATATTATAAACAACTTTTGATACATATTTATTGCCAGAATCACTACAATACTTCCCATTTCATTGAAAATGATTGATAAAATTATAGGGAAATGCTTATTACAATCAGAATGCAGATAGCAAACTGGAGTTCGATGGGGATGGTCCCCTTAGAATCAGAGAAAAATCTTTGTATCTATCATTGACTTAACCACGGATATGTGATACCACAAACACTGAGCATGCTCGGTAAATTACTGACCACCTAATAATCAAGGCAATTAAGCTGATTTAATTCAGAGGCAAATTAGATTCTTGGATGTTTCCTGGCACAGCCTCCTAGAAGAACACAGAAATCTTGAGGGAAATCCATACTCTGTGATTTTTATCTTGCCACAACTTTCAGGATGCTGGGCTTTTCTGGTTGAAAAATTGTTTTCTTGCTTAATTTCAGGAGTATTCATGTAGTTGAAGAAGCACATTGAGAAGCAACAAATGAAACAGCAATCACAGAGCTAAAGCAGAACAAATACATTCAGGACAGTGGTACTTTATATACGAAAAACACTTTTGATACCAGGTGTTGGTGGCTCCTGCCTTTAATCCCAGAACTTGGGAGGCAGAGGCAGGTGGATCTGTGTGATTTCGAGGCCAACCTGGTCTACAGAGTGAGTTCCAGGATAGGCTCCAAAGCTACACAGAGAAACCCTGTTTCGAAAAACCAACAACAGAAAAACAAAACAAAAAAACCACTTTTGGCTTCATGTGTCTTAATATACATACATCTTCATTAGGATTGGGCGGTAAAGACACTGAAGTCTCTCTGTTGATTCAAGAAAGTCACTTTGGAGTAACTATTGTATGTAGAATTGAGGGGGAAGGATAAGGATATATTTATTGACTTGTGTTCTTCTTTGATTCAAATTGAAGTGAAAAGGCTGAGTTTTAAAACTTTAGATCACACTTGAAGTATGTGGAAGGCTGTTTTTTGATGGGCAGTATAAAGTTAAAGTTACACTGTTGACCCCTACAAGGTAACCCTGGACAGATGGCTATCACTGCACCTCTATGGCCCCGATTCAGTGTCTCAGGCCAGTTGTGCACATTCAGTGTAATGGTGGGAAAGACCTGCAGGGAGCATTGAGCCTTGTTTCCTAACATCTACTCTTAGCCCCCAAGCAGTATGAATGCTGAACTCTGAGTCATTCAGTGTTTTCACCAATGCAATCATACTTCTCAGTCTCTTCAGTCTTATGGGAGAAGGGACAATGCCCACAAAGTAAGCTGGTGTCTGTAGAGGGTAAGGAAAACAGGGTATCAAGGAAACTGAAGAATGTCAGCTTATGGGTGACTGCAGCTTGAGACCTGCCTGCGTTCAAGGTTAAAGTCTTTGTCCATCTTTCTCAACCTCTGTATGCATAAACAGGATGGCTACACAGCT